ATGTGTTCCATGGTTTAAGTTGTTCTTATTCCTCTAGAAACTTTTCTCTTTTTTTTTTATTTCAAGCTTTAATTACTGTACCTTTTGGAGTTATCCGAGACATTCACATTTGCTCCATTCTTTAAGAAAAAATCTACCATAGCTAGATTATTTTCTTTAATGGCAAGCAGAAGTGGTGTATAGCCTTCCTGCAAAATCATATTAAAGATATCGTTACAGTGTGTAAGAATTCTGTATGTATACATCAAATCAGCTTAAGGCATTTTATGAACATCCTGTGAACTTGCTAACGATTTGTTAAGGAAGTATGGTACGATGGAATTTTGGAGCGAGAAGACCAATCCTGCTTCTGTTAGTTAATTCCTGTGTGACCATAAGCAAATTATTTCACTTCTCTGGGACTTAGTTTCCTCGTATGTAAAATGACAGAATGAAACTAGAGAGCCTCTGGGATTCCTTCCAGCTATAAATTTGTGATCAGTACATAGATACCCAGGATTTATAAGAGACTGTTTCATATTATTTCAGGAGTATCTTCCTTTCTTGCTATCTTTGTGTCATGATCACTTATCGTCTGCATGCAGCCAACCTTATTTCCCCAGTACTCTGCCAAGCTAAAGCTCTATCCAGGTCAATTTTACAGTTGCCTAGTTCTCTTTACCTATTGCCCTCGCTTGAGTACAACCAACCTCAAAACTTAAGAAAATCTTGCCTCAAGGTGGTTAAACCTAGAAGAAAGTCATTCTCATTGGCATATTCCCTCTCTTCTCAGCCCTCCTAAAGTAAGCTTTATGGGTTTTTTTCTCTCTCAAGTGGCAATGACTAAGAGTTAAACTTTTTCTTAAAAATCAGGAGTTATTCAGTAACTCCAGAAAGGAAAAGGTATAGTCTTTAGGAAATAGGAAAAAAACATATAGACTTAAGAATTTATTCTTGTGAAAATTCTGTGTCTGTGTATTTTTATACTTAGTAGGAAAAGATTTAAAAAAAAAACATGGCAATTCTACATGACAAATTAACATTGTGTTTCCATATGTAAAGGTCTATTTGTAGAAAAAGCATTGTAGGCAAAAATTTGGTGGAACTAGTGCATTCTGGGCAGCAGACCTAATGTATCATGCAAGCAAAATTCTGGAGAGACAGCTGCGATGGAATGCGTAGAGAGTTAGCCTCAAAGTCAGTAAGACCTAGATTCAAAGCCTGCCACTCTCCCACATATACTAGCTGGGTGGGTGACCCTGGGAAGGCACTTCACATTTCAGTACCCCAGGGCACTCCCTAATGACAGGTTTTCTTAAGTTTTTTTGTATCATGGATTCCTTTCCAGAATAACATTTTAAATGCCTAAATATATAGAATGCAAAGGATGCCAATTACATTAAAACAACTATAAAGTCATTGTTGCTTTTGTAAAGTTAATGTATCCCGTGTTAACAATCCCTAGTCTAAGATTAAATCAGAGAGTAGTCCCTAGTCTAAACCAGTAGAAGGAGTTTCCTCATTAGGAAGGCCAATGTGAATTAAATCTCTTCCCTTGTTCACCCAGCCCTCCTCTCCCACCTCCACACTATTAGAAAATTCCAAAGGCCAATGAACTTGGACTGCAGAATTATTTTAAGTTATTTTCATTAAAGAAATGCTTCCATGAATATATGAATTATAAAATATGTGAATTGGACACTACCTGATTACATATTTCAACTCATAAAATACTTTATTATACAAAAGGTGGGCTTCTACCTTGTTTTTTGCCTCTATATCCATTTTATGTCTAAGCAGCTTTGCTGCTATAGTTGTGTTCTGTCCAGAGGCAGCATAATGAAGTGCAGTGTTGTTTTTGGTGTCCACAAGATTAAGGTCTGCACCATGTTCGAGGAGGATAGTAGCACACTCCTCATTTTGACACTGTACTGCCTGTCAATATAGTACAGAGAAAGAGACAATTAATACTCTAAGATAAAATTTAGGATACTGAAACATCATTAGTGATATTTAAATAAGTTAGTAAAGGGCAGCTAGGTGGTGCAGTGGATAGAGCACTGGCCCTGGAGTCAGGAAGACCGGAGTTCAAATCCGGCCTCAGACCAAACACTTGCCACTTACTAGCTGTGTGACCCTGGGCAAATCACTTAACCCCAACTGCCTTAAAAAAAAAATAAGTTAGTAAAGCATATTTTCTTAATCAGAGAGAAATCAAAACGCATTTCATTGACCAGTGTGATTAACTAGTACATACCTTAATTAAAGGTGTTAGACTGTCATTGTCAAGCAGGTTTAGATTACACTTTCTCTCTAATAAGAGAGACACAACATCTGGATATCCATTAGCACAGGCCAGGTGTAGAGGTGTCCTACAGAAATGAGAGAGCTATGTGATTGACAAAATAAATATAAGTGGATACTACTGTCACCCAAAGAAATATAAAATATGCATTAGCTCATTTTGCTCGATATGGTGGACAAAATTGCCAAGGGTAAAAAAACAAACAAAAAAAACAGGTAGATTAAAATTTCACTACAGATTGACATGGGAACTCTGCTCAGTTTCTGACCTCAGTTGGTTCACCTCTCTTTAGGCAACTTGATGGGCCCTTGTACTTTGGGACTCACCATACTGATGCCAGCCTCAGTGCAGACACCCTACTGGCATAGCTCACTGCAGCTCAGAACTCATGAGTTCAAGAGATCTGCTAGCCTCAGCCTCACTGGTAGCTGGGATTACTGATGTGCATCACCCTGCTTGCCTGTTAAGCCTAATAACAACTTCTTTCCACTAGAGTATCCATAATTACAAAACACTTAGTAAAGCAGCTGCCTCAGACAAACATTTACACATTTGCATATTGTATATTTGTACAAGCACATGGGCACATGTGTGTGCATTCTCCACTAAAGTCTTACTGCCATGTAGCATTGCACAGTTGAAGTGAATCTGTGCTGCTAAAGGCTATCCCAGCAGGGTGCAAGTTTTGATAGTTCTACAATGCTGGCAAGGTTTTGAAGTAAGAGCCTGGTACTTTGTTGCCTTATCATCTCGCCAATTGTGTCCTGCCAAGCCTCAGCCTTCCATCACTCCTGCCATCTACTGTCTTTGTAGATGTCACCCTTTCACAATGATAATCAGTTTCAATTATTGTTGTTCTATGT